TAATCAAGTGATGTGCCAACAGAAACAAGTCTTAGGTGCTGCAGATTGTCAGCGATTTTCTTCTCCAGCACATGGATAAATATACTTGAAAACATCTACCCACCTCCCTCCTCTCTCTCTCTCCCCCCCCCCCTTCTGTATCTCTCTCTCTCTTTCCTTCCTTGCCCACACCTCAGAGTTAGTGCAGAGAGCTTTATTTAGTCCAGTGTTTCTCAACCTTGGTGACTTTAAGTCCTGTGGACTTCAACTCCCAGAATTCCCCAGCCAGCGAGAGCTGGCTGGGGGATTCTGGGAGTTGAAGTCCACAGGACTTAAAGTCGGCAAGGTTGAGAAACACTGATTTAGTCTGTTTCCCCCAGCTCTGTTTCAGTTCTCTTTCAGGTTTTCAGTTAACCCCCAGCTGTAAGCTTTGCACAATAATTGGCTCTCAACCAAGTAGATAACCAAAAGGAAAACAAACTTACAGCCAAACCAGAAACAGTCTTGGACATAAATATTATAGCCAATACACCTAGGTTTTGTTGGCAAAGATTCAGAGAGGGTAGAACAGGGATGTCAAGACTCATGTTCGTTTTTTTCACTTTCAATATTTTTCTTTTGTTACCTTGTTTCCCCGAAAATAAGACAGGGTCTTATTTTCTTTTGACCCGTGAAATAAGCACTTGGCCTTATTTTCAGGGAGATCTTATTATTTTTGAGGTGCAGGAAGCGGTGAGCATGGTTACCTCATGGCTGCTGTTGTTTTGCAATATTTTCAGGGGAGGGCTTATTTTAGGGCATGCGCTCAAAAGCCCAATTGGGCTTATTATCCAGGGAGGTCTTATTTTTGGGAAAACAGGGTATTATTTTACACATGGAGACCCTAATCAAAGGTCTATTACAATGATGGGTAACCTTTTTGTTGTCACGTGCTGGAAGCATGCACATGCACGCACAATAGCGTGCACACCTATGTACATCATGCAATGCATGCATGACCCCCCCCCTGTGTGCCTTGCCCCATGCACATGCGTGAGCAAGCTCCCCATGCTCCCCCATCCCTCCAGGTATGTCTGCATGACTACCCTCACCCCACTTTGGGCCTAGTAGGCCTCCCTGTAGCCTCCTGGGAGCAAAAACAGACTATGGGGGGGGACTGTGCTCCTCCCCATGCCCTGTTTTTGGTCTAGTGGGCCTCCCTGCAGCTCCTGGGAGCAAAAACAGGCTGTGTCCTACCCCCACCCCGTGCATGTGTGTGTGTCTCCTGTCCATGAGCCCCACCCCCTGCATATGCATGGCAGATACATGAAAATCAGCTGACCAGTGGGAGGCATACACACATGGGTGGTGGAGCAGGGCTGGGGCATTGGCTCATGTGCCTGCAGAAAGGGCGTTGCCTGCCACCAGTGGCACGTGTGTCATAGGTTTGCCATCACGGGCCTACAACATTGTATTTTAAACATTTCCTGCCAGGAAGTTTTGAGAAATAACACCATGCATTTTGGGGGATTTGCTGCTGAATTTTGGCAACGCAATTCTGCAAGATTCTGGAAGCTGTCGAGAAAGGTATTCCGGTAGTGCCTGCAATGCTTGGGACATTGGTTGTCAATGCTTCCTATGTGCCACAGGATGCCAAAAGATGCTAGACTACAAAAATCCCTGGTCTGGTCAGAAGTCAATTGCTAGTAGACTATGCTTCCAATATCAATATGTGAAGAGAAAGAACACACTCAGTGTAAAGTCTGTCTGGATGATTAGAATGACCTCTTGTGAAGAAGTTCTAGTGATGGTCTGATGACCTCCCATTAACAGCTTTAAATTGCATTTAGCTAAATATTTAGAAGCAATTACAAAATTGTCTTATCTTTGCACAGGTATTGCTAAGGCCCTGTTGGAAGATTGACTGTATTATAATCCTGGGAACTAAGAAGGAAAGATTATTTTAAAACGAGTGGGATTGATTTGAAAACAACTCTGGCATTTTGAAAAAAAGAAGAACTTGGTTTCCAAAGGTTTTTTTTTTTTACTACATTGTGTCGCGGAATGCACATAGGGCAGTTCCAATTATTTTAATTATGTGTCATGATTATTGATGGACTAAGGCCAGCTAGACATTTCACAACAAGATCTTTCATTGCCAGCACATCCTTATCTACATTGAAAGTCCTTTTCTTTTAAAGTTCTTTTTGACTGGTTTATTGGATAAGAAAGGAAGGGAAAATAGCTCTGAGCATAAACTGTAAGATGATAAAGGGTTTAGTTTTTCTCCACATGACCCCTTCATATCATAATAATATAATTATCACTGTGGTCTTATTTACCCTTTGTAAGTAAGCTTTTAAGCATATTATTTGAGGTTAATATCTCCTATTATTATTATTATTTTTCTAGTCCACATTATGAAGCTCGTGAAATCTGACATAGAGGGGGAAAAAGAAAAGGAGAGTACAACATTCGGTAGCTACGCTGCAGGGAATTAATCCTCCATTATGAAACTGAGGCCAGATAAATCTTGCAAGCTAACTGACACACTTTTTCCAACAAAGAAATTAAAGTTTAAGAAATAAAAAATAAACGAGGCACTTTTTCTGCTGTGGTAAACGAAGTTATTCTTCCCACCCTAAACACTTGCATTTTTTTCCTTTTTATGACCTTGTAATCCCTTAATTGAGGGGGTGGGATTGGGGTGAATAAATAGAGCCGAGAATTTACTGACCAGATGCCCTTCCTGACACCATTCGTTCACAACAGATATTTTCTCTTTGCGCCCTGAGAGAGAAACATCTGTTTTTACCTAGGATTAGGTGCCAAGGGCATCCTTATCTGAATTGGGCATCAGTTTGGTACAAGAAGAGTAATCTACAGTGCTTTTGGGTATCAGGAGTAGTCCAAATGCAAATAGATTTGAGTAAATTATTTGTAATATGTTGACATGAGATGAAAAATCTGACACCTCACTATACCTTCTCACTCAGTCCTACTGTGCTCCCCTATACACAAACAGAACAGTTAGATTGGGGTGTCAAACTCACGTCGTCACATCATCATCATCATGTGACATATCGGGACTTTTTTCTCCTTCGCTAAACCAGGGGTGGGTGCATAGCCAGCATGTGGTTTAGGTTTAGGTTTAGGTTTATTTATATGCCGCCCTATTCCCAGCGGGACTCAGGGCNAACAACCGGTTCTCCAAACTGCTTAGAAAGTTAACAACTGGTTCTCCCGAATATGTGCAATCTGGCTGAATCCCACCACTGCATCTAGGGGTATGATTGTATTCATTTATGTCTAATCCCAGGCCTTTTCTACTAAAAATACAGATCCATTGCTAGAAAAAATAATATCTTGACCTATTAAGAAAATCTTCATTGCAAGAACCATGATAGTTTCTGCTGTTAATTTTAAATTCATTAAATAAACAAACATGGGCTAGAAAGTGTGAGTGTGGGAGTAACAGAGAAGTTAATAACCACACTTTGGGGGCAAAGTTGTAATTGCTTGTCACTTGTTTGTTCCCTGGTGTCAAGGATTTTCTGATTTACACACTCCATCTGCCACTTGTTTTTATTTATTGTTATTTCATGCCTATGAAATCTATCACAGTATGATCTGACAAGCCAATGTGTCAATCTGGAATTCCCTTGTAAAATTGGTTCTTTTCTCTTTAAGCGTTTCCATCCTCTATTCCTCCCCCCACCTTTTTTTAAACTTTATATTATTTTTAGGACTGGGAATATCTGTCACCTCATTTATTGATGCCTGACAAAAGGCAGTGAATTTTCACATGAAACTTATGCTGTTCTAGCGGAGCCTGAAATCATGTCCATATCATGAAGAAAGGTTGTAAATTGAAAAAGCAGATGCTTTGTTGGAAAGGTGCTTTATATGTACTACAGACAGTACAGAAATACTTCATTCGAAATGTGAACTTGACTTACCCTGTCAGATCTACCATCGGAATCAGCCCTAACGTATAGCAGCCCACCAAATTTTCAAGTGAAATTCTTTCCCCAATATTTTAAAAATGAAAAGGCAGGAATTAAACCTGGCACTTTCTAGATCCTTTCTTTCTTTGATTTTTGACTTCATTTTTTTTTTATGCCATGAAGTGTGGAAATGTGGGACAGCTGCAGGGGTGGGTTTCAACCAGTTCGCGGCGATCCCTGCGAACCGGTTGCTCGGCGAACCCGGAAGTAAGTAACTTCCGGGAATGGCGAAGGGCCCATCCGCCTGCGCGTGCTCCTTACCCGTTTTTGACGAGTTCTGCGCTTCCACACATGCGCAGGATGCATACAGCGCCTGCGCGATCCTCCAGGAGCAGCTGGAGCATCGCACAGATGCTAGTACGCACGCGTGCACCGCACATATGCACGAGGATGCCGCCGGCCCCGTTCCAACCGAACCGGTTGGAACGGGGCGAGAAACCCACCCCTGGACAGCTGCTAGTAACAATCACAAAAAGAACATAAAAAGCTGAAAGCATAAATTAAAATGAAACACAGGTTCTCAAATGACTGAATAATTAAGAACTGGGTGAAATCCTTGTCTCTTTACAGATTTTCTAAACAGTAAGGGAAGATGGGGCAGATGGAATGGTTGAAGATGTGTCTCCCATAATCATGGGAAGCAATGCCATTGTTCTGACCTAGGCTTCCCCAAAAAGCACTAGGCAGATTCCTGGTCCCAACAAAATCCCTTTTAGATAGCCAAAGCAGTTTGAATTCCATTATTTGGCTGAAAGCTCAAATAATCTGACTGAAATCGATCCACAAAGACTCAAAGAGATTTCTCTTTAGATTATGTAAAATTTA